GAAATCACTCTTTTCATCGGGAAGCTATCAACATGTGTGAAAGGCATTTGCATTGCTCAAGAACTGCTGCAGATGGGCACACACCAAAAAAGGCTCTACAGAAGGGTCTCGAAGAAGGGAAAGTTGAGGGCGTTTGACACAGGTGTTTTGAATTTCCAAGAAGCACTTAGGTCATCCTGTGGCTAAAACCATTGGTGATGAATTACTGTCAAAAATCCAGGAAAATAGCAGACGTCGCCCAACCTTTCAGGCAGCGCTTAGATCATCCAGGCCAATACCATCAGCTGGGCCTCTCACCCCTAACTTTACACAGCCTGCTGTAGGACCATTCCTGATGAACTACTGTGAAAAATCCAGGACAATAGCAGACGTCACCAAACCTTTCAGGCAGCGCTTAGATCATCCAGTCCAATACCATAGTCTGGGCCTCTCACCCCTAATCTTACACAGCCTGCTGTAGGCGTCCTGGTACTGTGAGCAGTCATGGCAAAAAGTGAACCGATACCGCCACTGAACCTGAATCTCTCAATGGATTGTGTTAGTTTGTCAAAAGTTCAAGCACTTGCCATTTTAGCTTGCCTGGCATAAAGTATGTTTGTCCACCTATTAGGAACTGTTGTAGGAATCCTGCGTGTGGGTTTCTGACGCTTTTGGGTAAGTTAAGGACTATCAGAAAACTGGTCAGCAGTGGATCTTAACTGTGCGCTTTGCAGCAATGGGAATCCACACACCCTGACAGGCGGGTTCCCCAGGTTAGATGTGGGATGGTTGCGACTGACAGGCGGGTTCCCCAGGTTAGATGTGGGATGGTTGCGATTAGTGATGATTCTGGAAAAGGGTCAGCAGCAGAGCCAGACCCTTGGCCTGGCCTTCAATGGCCAAAGTCTTGAGTGCATCGTGATCATCCTTGCGGTGAGTAAGCAATTAGTGACTGGAATCATCCGTTGGGTTTAGCGGTGGTCGACAATCCCCAAGGTGATTCCATGTGGTGAGGTAAACTGTCCTTGGCTGCATCAGAAATCTAGACAGCTGTGCGCCTTTCTTTTTTTTTCTGTGCATCCTGCTGTGTGTTTGTTTTCTTACGTGGTATATAGGTAGGCTATATATGTAGGTTTTCTTCTCCCTACCCGGTACCAAGAGGAAGTATTCTACCATCTAACTTTTGCTGGGTGCACCGTGCCGAGTGTCTACCCCCCAAAAGACAATGGGGAGGCCTGGTATGCCCCACACTTACTGGGATGCTGCAGGACCTACGTATTCTCTGGGGTGTTGGCATGTGTCCCCTGCTAGATAGTCTATCTGTGGCCTCCAGTCCAGAAAGAGTTTAGGGGGCCAGTACGCCGTTTGCATTTGTCTGTAGGACATCTGCATGTACTCTTGGATTGCCTACCAATCCCTGTTAACTTTTTTGCTGCGTGATGGCAATTGTGTGTGTGTGTGTGTGTGTGTGTGTGTGTGTGTGTGTGTGAGAGAGAGAGAGAGAGAGAGAGAGAGAGAGAGAGAGAGTACTGATGCTTCTCACATCTTTATGGGATGCAAGGGTCTCAAGCCTTTTTTTTTTTTTTGCCAAACAGGACCTTATGGTCCTGGCTCCATATCCATTCTGGGGAGCATCGGTCTGGTTTCATTTCCACCGGCAAGTACGTACATACACACGCTTCCTTCCGTCTGGCCAAAGGAACCCTGAACAACATTGATTGCTCCATCTTTGTGGAGGATTAACTTTCAGCTTGCCTTTATAGTAAGTTTATAACTTTACACCCAACGTCCTCTCAGGTAGGGTATACCCTGGCTGTCGGGTATCCTCAAAGCCCAAGACCTTGAGAGAGGCACAATCCTGTCCATACACAAATGTCTCGTGTTGGGGTCTCTCTGTGCTCTCTCTGCTCTCCCTTGCCATTCTCCTTCCATGTGTGCCTTGTTGCTGTCTTCTTCCGCTGTTCCCGTGGTTGCCATGCTATACTGTAAGGCAGTACTACCGTCTTCCCCCGAACACAACGCACTCTTATTTTCGCTGTATCCGTCCGGAAATATATCTTGTATACATTCATTTTTTGGGTGCGTTATGTTCGGGGGAAGACGGTAGTATGTTTGGGACCATTAAGGCAGTAGTAGCAAGTTTGGGAGCATTGCAATTGAACCGTCAGTACATTCAGGCCGCCTTCTCCTGAAGCGGATTCGCGACGTGCCCGAGAGCTGGCGTGGGCAGGTCTTCTATCTTTCTTTGCAGGTTAGTTAGGTCCTTGGAATGTAACAGCTAAGGAGGAGAAAAAATGCCTTGGGCGTACTGGTGGTTAAAACAGATATATCAGCTGCTGCCAACGTTCCTGAAAATGCGGTCATGTACAGCAGGTTGGAAGGCTTGCAGTGTGGAGTGCTGGAAGCAGAGGTAAGCCCAGTATATGTGTGCAGCATAACCCAAGGTAGAATGGAACTGTGGCAAAAAGGCTACAGCAGGTGTTTTTCTTTGGTCTTAAGCCACTCGTTCCTCGATGTGTTGGAAACTGGGATACTGGTAGTATTGGGAAGACTTTTGGGCCTTGCAGTAACAACATGGAGCAAAAAATGCCAAGTATCACTGCCATTGTTTTTGGTATTTGAATAATTTTTCTAGTGTTTTTTTTTTTTTTTTTTGGGGGCGGGGGGGGGGATGCAAATAAGATGACCACGAATGTAGGCCCTTAATTCTTAACTTTGAGTGCTAAATTTGCAGCTAAAATCATTAAAGCTGGCACACTAAGATTTCTGCGCACTGCTGCTGAACCACGGCCCCGGAAGCTCCTCCTCGCCTTTTGTGGCCTGGACAAAAGCATTGAAAGTAAGTTTTGGTTATGCAAGGCTAGGACCATGTATCACTACGGTTATGGCCACGTAACAGTAACTTCAGGACAGTTTGTACTTATTAATGGACGACACGGTTGATGCTATCTTTACTCCTGCTTTCGGTGTTTAATTTCTGGGTGTCGAAGTCTTGTTGAGAATTTGGTGTGGGGCAGGGTTTAAGGTAATGGTATGGGGGAGGGTAAAAATGATGTTTTGGTCTGCAATGAGAAATTTAGCTGGAAGCCCAGCAGTTCGTCTTGTCCTTATTCAGCTCTTCCCATCTGCCTTGCAGGCCGCCTCCATTTGCACGAAGTGCAGCAAGACATGCTGGGCAAGCGCTTTTCTTGTAATTCATTTCTCCTTGCCTTTAGCTATTTCGTTTACCTTTGTCCCCTGTACTCTTAAGATATCCACGTCCTTGTTCCTCTTGCGTGGAATCGTGTGCTGCCCGTTGACTGACTGTGTTCTGTTCCTTCCCTAAGAAAACTTCGACTCCCATTCAATCCCTGTTACTTGTCAGTCCTTTTGGTATTTGCCCTCCTAAGTCGCTGTGGTCTATGAACTGATGTTCCTGTTATTCTTGTGACGAATCCTCTGGATGTGTGTGTAGAGAGAGATTATTATACCATTTGCACGTGGGGAGTGGTTGCCATTTTATGTGTTTGTGTTCGCCAATGTGCAGTTGTGTGCTGATGGTGGTTTTGACTGAGTTTTGTTAGGATGTCGGGAGCTGCATTCTAATCCGGTTGCATATCTATGACTGATCTTGACATAGGGTGGCTTGCAATGAATCCTTTGGATGTGTGTGCCTACATAGACATTATTACACCGATTGCACGTTGGGAGTGGTTGACGTTCTGTATGTTTGTGTTCGCAAACGTGCAAACCCTTCTCTACCTTCATCTGCCGTGTGCCGATGGTGGTTTTGACGGAGTCTTTTTAGGATGTCGGGAGCTGCATTCTAATCTTGCTGCATAGGTATGAGTGAGCTTGTTGTATATAGGGTGGGACGCATGAATTGAAATGCAGAAGCTTGGCTGAGCCGAGAGGGTTAATAGCGAAGGCGTAAGCAAGTGTTATGTAGTGGGAGTCAAACAGGCTCTCAGCAAGATGGGTTTGCCAATGCCACCAAGTCTATGTCGATTCACCTGATATTGCAAGTCATTCATGGACATGCTTGGACTGAGAGGCAGGTTACCCGATGAGGGCAAATTGTTTCTGGAAATTCCGACTCTGTACGTCGCCAGGCTAGAATTGCTGTCCGTATTCAGAGCAAAAGGGGGAGTACTGATCTTATGCCTTGTCCATGAAATCATGTCGTGTTTAAACAGCTGTCCTATGGTAGGAAGCAAAGTCTCAGTCTGGGATCAAGGGCTTGCATTGCATTTTTTTTTCTGAGAAGATGAGCTTCGGGAGTCCATTATCGTGTCAATGTTCGAAGCTTCAGCCCCGCCAAAAAACAAAAAAAGAATTTCATGGTGGGGAGTCGACTTACAGAGAGTGTAATGGTGGGAGAAGCAGTCCTTGCCTGGTGATCATCCTTGAATGGCGATACAGTGGTATGTTGGCCAGCTCGGATGCCCGGCTGTACCGTGACAGAGGAATGCAGAAGTGTTTGCGAACCAGAGCCCTCTGGCGGCTTGGGCAAGATAATCCTAGACGTCCTCCTGTAGGCGTCCAGCTGCGTTTGCTCCGATTTGCCAGATGTCTGGCCTGGTACTCTCCGGTAATGTTTGCGGAATGTAGTGCTGTTCTGGTTGCACAGTTTTAGCAATGTGACCGTTCTGTGTGCTGCAGGCAAGAATAGAATTGCACGTGGAACCCTACTTGTGAAATGACTGTTCTGCGGATGCAAGAATGTGCTATCACTTATAAAAAAAAGAGAAATGTGCTATTTGTAATGTTAGAGCTTGCATTGGCTTGCCATGGATGAGAAATATTGTCACCAAATTCAACAAACGTATTCTTCTCAAACCTTGTGGTTCTTTTTCTTTGGTATTCGTCTCCAAAGGTGCATTTGGCTGATGTGTGGTTGTCTTTTCCCATTGTTTAGTCGTCTTGCCAAAGGCGGAAGTTGGAAAGCGCCGTACATTAAAGCAGACACTTTGTAAAGGGGTATGCTATGCGGGCGGCAAGATGGTGATGGGGTTGGTTTGATGTTTTTGCACGTTTAACAGGCACGAAGGCAATATATTGCGGAAGGGCCCAGAAGAAAGCTGAGAGGGATGCATTTCTGAAGCAGAAGTTTGAGGAGCGGCGATTGGAGAGGATTCAAAAGTATCAGGTAATCATTCTGCAAGGAAAATGAGCGATAGCGAACTTCAGAAATCAAACAGCATCATACACATGAGACCAGATAGTCGTGACCTTGAACCAATAGCAGAATTGCATTACGAGTTCGACCAAAAAAGAACACAGCAAAAGCTAATAATTGACAATGCTGGAATAGTCTCATCATTATCAATGAAGAACAAATGTCGATATCCTATCTGGCGCTCGGCGCCCAGACTACAAATGGCAGATCCTATCTAGCCTATCTACAATGCCACTGATGATGTTAACAGCTCCCCGAAGTACGAGCAGATCTCGGTCGAAGCCGTACGCATCGAGCACCGGGTGTCACAACCTCGTTCCCCAGCATCACAGATTCCACATGAACCCAAGGACCACCATGCGCCCCATCCAGCATACAGCAGCGCAGGTCAGCTATGGCTGCTGCTCCTTCCAGCTCGCCCGTGAGCCAGTCAGCGCTGGCCAGCGGTAGCGCATCATGCAGCCATTGCCCGAATGCCGAATGCGTTTGCAGGCCCTTTCCTTAATGGTAGTGGCCTGCCTGCCTTGCGTGCAGCCTGGCTGCGCCGGGCCCCTGCCCAGGAGCTTCCGGTAGGCCCAGAGAGGCTGAGCCCCAGACCAAACGGATCAGGCCTAAGGCCTGTGACAGTTACCCGTGCCCAACTGCCCGCAGCCTGAGTTGGGTCCATGCTGCGTATCTCGCCCAGGGCCTGACTCAGATGCATTTGATAAAGGAGGCCAGGGCCTGGGCGCTTTCAACCAACTGGCGCTGCGCAACTGCCTGAATTTTCCCCCAGTTGCGAAGTAGTCCAAAATAGGCCTCTTGTCGCCTGTCGAGGATGCCTTCACTTAGGGCGGCCGACACTGTTGCAAATAGGGGCCCAGTAGGGCTTACCGAGGCCTTGTGCCTAGTAATTGGTCGGCATTGGCTTTGTGGAGTAGGCTTATTAGACAGTATACCCGCAAGGACTTTTGGAGAGGAATGCATGAAAAAAAGAACCCCAAGTGACAATTCCTAAACCCTGAGAATGCAAAACAAATATGATGTCTTCAGTTGTGGTCCTCTCTTTTGATGTTCCTTCAGCATTCAATTTGGGCATGATATTCTATGTTTCTTTAGCTTGGCCATGATATCCTATCTAATGGCCGCGGCATCGTCAATATCTGACGACCAAAGCTGGAAATAAAGGTGATAGATCTGTGTGTTACCGCAGTGTTATTGGGAGTTGGAAGTATCAGTGTTGCAGGATCTTTACTATCCTCTGTCCTGTTTGCTGGGGGACAAAAAATTGTCAAGCCTGTTCCTGGGAATGGATACTTCTGCATGCAATCCCTCCACAGTTCAGACGGCCAACTGCAGGCACTTCTCCTCCAGACTTCCACTGCAACTAGGTAGAGACTTCAAAAATGCAATGGTGTAGATAAGAGAATCTGACAAACGACGTCCATGCTGTTCTGAAACAGTCGCTCTTCTGGTATGGAGGGGAATTACGTTGTGTAGGGGACGATGAGGGTGCCGAGGGGGAAATTAGGAGGGGAAGAGTATGCCTGAAAAATTCCACCACTATGTTCTCAGTGTTGGGGAAAAACGGGAATAGGATTCACACCGTGCTTTTCGGAGGTCATGGTGAGGCTCGGACAAAAGATGTTTGGGCCCTATGGGCCCGTTTAGTAAAAAAAAACAAAAGAAAGGAAGTCACTGTAATGTGAGGGAAGATGTTGGGGAAAGCCGTGAACGACTTTCTGCTCACGTCCAAACTTATAGTGACGTATCCAACCACCATCTGGGCTAGTTTCAGCTGAGTTTTTTGTCGTTTTCATTATTCTTCTTTTGTTTTGTGGAATGCGCCCTGCCTTGCCCTGCACACTCTTAAGGGCCAGTGATTGAAGGTCATCGAGGAAACATACAGTGTAGTACTCACGATGATGTGACAAAGGTATTCACTTTTTTATTTTTATTTTTTTAGGTGGATCTCACCGCACGGCTGTAATCGAATGCACTGAGAGGACACTCACACAAGTACTTCAATGGTTGAATCTAGCTGGAAAAATGTGCTACATGGTCGTTTTTTTGTTTTTTTTTTTTTTTCGTTCGTTGATGTCACCACGCCGGTATAACGCCCCACCTCTTTGTTTATTTATTGCAATGCCTTCTTTTTTATTCGTGCGAACACCAGAAAGAAAAACAAACAAACAAACGGGACCCAGGCTCAGCAAAGCTCAGCGGCAGTGAAAATCAGGGTCTGCAAAAACAGGATCGGAGGTAGTGATGGTTTGAGACAATGGGGGAGTACAAGGGCTTGATGGGTGGGTGTTCTAATTGCTTGGTGTGCCCATGGCAGGATGCCCCACACAGGTGTGCCATTCTTCTCCTTGTTCGGTGCAAGGATGTCATCATATGTAAAGAGTGTGATCGTGTAAAGGGATACAGTCATAGCCCTGGATCACCCAGGGTGATACTATGTGGGGGTGCATGGTATCATGTGGCACGGATGATACAATGTGGCCTGGGAAATATTATGTGGACGGGGGGCCACCTTGTGGGGTGGGTGGGGTTGGGTCATACCTTGTGGACCACATGGTACAAACTCCGCTCACAAACACAGTGCCCCCCCCCACAAAAAAAAAAAAGAAAAAAAGAAAAAAAAGAAGGGAAGAACATGCACACACTCGGGCACAACTTCACCCTTGGCAAGGCGTATGGCACTAATATATGGCCTGCATGATGCTATGTTTGTTGGATGGTACCATTGAACTGGGCGGCACCATGAGGGGTCACAGGCCATACGGTGGACTGGATGGTGCACACGTGCAAGGCGTGTGGACATGTGGCGCTTCACCACACAAACGTGGCCAACTTTGCATCTTCTACTAGAATGTCCAGACAGTTTTAGTTTCGTGATGGTTTGTGATGATTCGTGGATCGAGTGAGAGAGAGTCTTTTTTCCTAAGGACACACCGATGCCAAAAAAAAGAAAAAGAATGCAGGCACGGTCACTGGAAAAGAAAAAACACATGCCGAATTTGGCCCTTGCCATGACCATGCAGTACTATGTGGGTCGAGCGGTATTATTTGTCACAGGTGATATGCAGGTTGAGTCATTTTGTGTGGGGCAGGTCGTACCACGTGTACCGGATGGTACTATGCAGGACATGGGTAGAGCATTACAAAAAACATTGTGCTTCACTCGATAAAAGAAGTTGATCTTATCATGCTTGGAAATGAAAACTGAATGGTCAAGTACCTACGCTTTGATAGCCTGAGCAGGCATGAAGTGTTGATTAGACCCCAAGCAAAACGCTTGAGCTTCCAGTCGCCTGGAAGTTCAGACTGTAGCATCATCCCATCTTATATGCTCGGGATGTTTGGCATGCAGTTGTTGAGACTTTACTTAGACCTCCTTCCCTGCTCGTTGTCCCCAAACAAAAGCCAAGTCCATGGTGTACACCCATCAAGACCTGCACTCAAATCCCTGTGGGGGAATTGAAAAAGAACTGCAAGTTCGAGATTAGAGCGCCCGACTCGTTTGCAAGCGGGTACAGCTCCTGTTTCCTGCAAATGTGACTGCAACACAGGCACAACTTCTTCCCTACCAGAGGGCGTCCTGTGGACATCCGGACAGCAAACAGGCACGACTTTGTTGCTTCCAACGCCTCCTGTGAACATCCTGACTGCGAACGGGCACAATTTCTTTCCTTCCAATGGACCTCCTGTGAACGTCCTGACTCTAAACATGCAGAGCTTCTTTCCTTCAAACGGGCCTCCTGTGAGCATCCTGACTGTGAACGGGCATGGTTTCTTTTCCGTCCAATGGGCCTCGTTTGTAGCTGTATGCGAATGTTTGCCACGCCAAAGGTGCCACTCTGGCCACCAACAGCACATTCAGTCAGCCCAGGCGGTGTCCACTGTGAATCCGTATTCCGAGCATTCACACTAGAAAACGGGGCCACCAACTGCGAAGCAACCGCATTCGTGCTGCAAACTGACAAAAAAAATGGAAAGGATGTGAACTTTTCCCGCTTCCCTGCGAACTTTTCCTGCTTCTCTGGTCAGCTGGCAGTGTTCCGGAAATGACGTGCAGCCACCCCACACCTTTTTTCGCAAAGGTGGGAGTGGGGCCTTGTGGGGAACTGTCATGCGAGACCGGCTCTGTTCTTTATGAGCATAGAGGGAATAATAATCAGTGATATCAGTCTGAAAAATTGTCATAGTTGTTTTCACGTGCATGGTCTCCATACTTGCGCTTTTCTTTGGGGATGAAGTAGCTTCTTGTGACCATTGATGAAGCCCGCTATGGCGTCTTTTGCAGGGTGTGAATCTGTACATCAAGAACCTAGAGGATTCAATTGACGATGAGAGGCTCCGGATGGAGTTCGGAACTTATGGGACAATCACATCGGCTCGGGTTATGAGGGACGAGAAGGGGATCAGCAAGGGGTTTGGGTTTGTATGCTTCACTGCGCCAGAAGAAGCAACGAAGGCGGTCACCGAGGCAAATGGTTGGTACATATAAGGGTTCCATGAAATTCCTGTTTTGTGAACGGGAGGGTGAAATGTGACGCTAACCATCGCTCAGCTTGGATCGCGGAGCACGACTAAATTGAGTAATGCAGTTGCGAGTCAATGATCGGGGTATACTTCTAACACAGCGTGCTGAATGCTCACTGACTTGTGAAATGTGGCGCTAATCAAGGGTGCCTGGAAGAGGATGAGGGGGGAAAGTGCGTGGAGAACATGTATTTGGTCCTCGAGAATGGGGTGTTGGTTTCTTAGGGATAGGAGAGCTTACAAAGTACCAGTAAACGATGAGGAAGGTGGAGGAAGTAGCCATAACTCGTTTTCTAATCCCTCGCAGTCTCATTTCTACTCTTGGGCTTGTTTGCTGTGAATCAAATTAAAAATGAAACTAGCAGAAAATGGTAGTGCAGCTGATCTTCCTAGGGATGTGCTTTTGGACCTCAGATTGCGGCTCTGTAAACTTATTGCAGTGATTGCCGTTATGCGAAAGTTAAAATGACAGCTGAGGCGATCAGAAACCTGAGTCATGTCAGCCCTTGTATTGCGAAAGCTAAATGACAGGTGAGGCGATCAGGGGGACCTGGGTTCTTGCAGTGTGAAAGGACTGCAGCCAATGTGTTTCATCGAGAATGTTATGTCTCAAGGGCTTTATGTCCGGCGCCGTGTCACCCCAGCAACGGCTACCGGAGTATGAGTGTAGTATGCTTCTGGATGACTTATGTGATCTGCTTCCACCCTCTGGGGCGACCCATAATCTTAGATCTACCATGGCAAGTATAGAGGTGGAAAGTTAAAAATTAGGATGGCATGGAGGCTGCATAGGAGTTCAGAAGGAAGACGTGGAAAAGTGACGTGTGTTGGAATGCAGGGGAGAGGAAGTGTTAAGGCATGAGCACCTGCAGAAAGGAAAAAAACTGTCTTATAATCATGGAACCTACTCCACTTTTAAACTAAAATTGTATCGGACGACCGTGAGTTTGTGGCTGCATCAATGTCTGACCCAAATTGATTAAGAGTTCCCCCTGGTTCATGATATCGAGAAGAGTACTTATGCGTGTCGTCACACATAGGAAGCTTCTCCCAGTTTTCGTACGACTGCCCTCATAATGCGTATCCCTTTCTTGGTTCTCTGTGGTTTTGTAGTTGTTTATCTTCATTTCGCTTATTTGAGCAACGTTTTCAGTGTTGACCCGATTGCCATGTCAGCTGCTCTCGTCCTTGGTTGTTTGTGAGTCTCATGCTAAGAATGCTTTCTGATCCCTTGCTGTTTCAAGGGAACCCTGGTTCTATGTAGTTTTTTTATCAGGTTGAATTTGACACAAGAGGGAAACTGTAATGGTCTGAAGGTTTCGTCTCCCTGCTTCCCTGTCCCCCGCTCTTCTTTGCTTGGCCTTCATTAAGGTGGAATGGTTCTCATGATTGGCGTTTTAACTTGCTGTGCGTGGTGTTGTGTAGGGCGCATGCTGAACGGAAAGCCCATTTATGTTGCCTTGGCTCAGCGGAAGGAAGTGCGGAGGGCGCAGCTTGAGCAGCACTATGCACAGAGATTGGTGATCGCAAGGCCAGGAGCTGCAGGTGCTTCATTGCCACCGGCCACCCCGGGACCGCCTGTGTACCCACCTGGTGCCCCAGTTTATTATCAAGCGGCACCTGGTGTTGTTCCTCCAACCGCGCAACGGTTATATCCTCCGATGATGGCTCGCGGGGCATGGAGAGCAACAGGGCCAGCTCCCCCACCAGCTCGACCAGCATTTCAGACGGTTTCGAATTATGTGGTGAGTATGTGTGCTCTTTGATATGTGGCTTTGTTTCTCCGTTTGCATTTGATTTCTGAGATTGGCAGCACGTTCAAAACTGCAGTGGGATCATCGTAGGTGTAGCAGATAGGCTCTATCCATGGAAGAGCCGTTGAGAGGTCGCACATTATGTGCAGTTCGAGGAATCAGTCCATCCTTAGAAAGAGCTGTTTACCTGTCTGCAGTTATGCTGTTTTGTGTAGATGTCTGCAATTTCAAAACGGATTCATTTACTAGGCTTCCACGCCATCTTCCTTCTGCACTAATGCATGTTTATCTGATGAATGGTGCAGGGGATAGGTTTGGATTCGTTATTGTCTTCGTTCACCTCTTTTCAGAAATCAAGATGAAGTGGTGAAGACACGAATGTGGTCGATGAAGAATCTTATGTGACAAATTGTTCTCAGCTTGTTACAGAGGTATCGACTGTGCACAGTAGGATCTTCCCCCAGTCGTGCCATATCGACTGTGCACAGTAGAATCTTCCCCCAGTCGTGCCATGTTTGTCCAAGGAAAGCATGAATCTGGCTGCACCTATGGTCCGGCTCTTGCTAGCTGAAAACAAACATAGCACGAGTGGGGTCTGCCGAGCTCTACCCTTTGTAAGATGAAGGGATCCACGTTTGTAGCGGGTTCCACTTGTACGGGGCTTACACTCGCACCGAACGTGGAACAGCTTCACCCTCCCTGTGTGTGAGTTTTGAAGGGGTCCATCTAGGAGTGGGTTGCTTAACTAACTCAGCACACACTCGTGTGCTGATCAGGTCCCCTTGGCGCAGAGGCCTCAGAGACAGGGGAGACCACAAGGCAGTGTACAATCACAGATGCAACCACAGCAGGCGCCCCCTCGGAGGCAGCAGCTGGCACAGATGCAGATGCCACAGCCAGGAGTGAAGGATTTGGTCAGGAATCAACAGGTGGGGACCACATAGGAACCCTGTTGGACGTGCAATCTTCTCTGGTCCAAGTCACATTGTTACGAATGTGATGCACCCGAGTCCTGTTCTAGGTCAGTGTGCGGCTGTTGTCGGGACCTGTGGCAGCAGTTGATATGTCAATACTATTCTCCTTGTGGTTTAGGGCACCAGGCTTCTCGTTAAAAGTTGCCGCTGGCTCTCGCAAGGGCTACAATGCTAGTAGTGTGCGTTCTTTTCTCTATGTATTTACCTGTGTAGGATCTAAACAGGTCCACCATCGTGTTGAAGGAACATTGTGGACTGCAGACTAGCTTGCCTCAGCAGGTGTCGGATCACAGTCACGATGTATTCTATGGAGAGAATTCATTTTAGTTCTTACTGCAAGTCATAATCATACGATGTAAATAACTTGTCCTTCGGGAATATCTCACCTTCTGTGGCGTAGGTTCACCAGGTGGCGTGACCTAGCTGCACAGTGTTTCACCGTCATCTTCCTTTCGATTTTGTCTGCGAACGGAGGCAAAGTTACCAACGGGGCAATTCAGTTTCGATTGATATGTTTCGTGTTAAGCTCTTTCTTTGGATGTTGTCTGACCTTTGCAGAATGTCTTTGCAGGAATGTTAGTTTGTTTATTCAGTGCAATTCGGTTGGGACCTCGCAGATGGAGTGTTATCATTTTCTGATTCCCAGGACGATGTTGTGCTTTTCCGACATGTGCAGCGCAACCGAGGGCAAACAGTCAAGTATATTCCAAATGGCCGTCCACGGGATACTTCGATCATTCCAGGCATTGTTCCCCAGGGTCAAGTTGTTCCTGCAGGGCCGCCAGTGCCAGTTGCCATCCCAGTGCCTGTTGGAGCGGGTGTTGTGCCTGGTGTGCCATCGCATCCAGAAATACTGACAACGAGTATGCTTGCAGCTGCCCCTCCACATCAACAGAAACAAATGCTTGGCGAGCGGCTTTTCCCATTGGTCCACCGACTCCAGGTATGAATGAACATGAGGATTTTCAAAGAGGTCCAAGTAATGAAATGTCTTGCCCACATTTCCTTACGCAAGAAAAGGAGTATACAATCAGTGAACTGGGTTTCTGCTCTCCCTCTCTCTCTCTCTCTCTCTCTCTCTCTCTCTCTCTCTCTCTCTCTCTCTCTCTCTCTCTCTCTCTCTCTCTCTCTCTCTCTC